TCGGTTCATAAGAAAATTACTTTAACGATCATTGCTGACTTAGGAATACGTGAACTTTGATATAAGAAACATTCCTATCGAATTTCATGCGGAAAGTGTGATATTCAATGTAAAGATGTTTTATATGAACCAAAATCGGTCTAAAAAAATTATTGCAAATTTTATGAAAAACGATCAATAATTAACTCTATCTCTCATATAACATGTTGGTATAAAAAATATGTCATATTTTTTGAATAACTCGCTCCTACAACCTTCCGACCAATTTTTAATAAAAATTTCCATTTTGTGCCACATGTTATAAAATCCCAAAGCTGGGATCAGAAAACTTAAAGCAGTTTTGGAAGTCTTGATGTCTTCCCTATTTATCATCAAAGTATACTCTGAGCCCCGTGAGAAATGCGGATCCTATGGTTAAAATTTTAAAAAATACCATTATTGGGATCTTCGCTCCAATTTTTGGGATTTGGGGGCTTTCTTTTGACAATTTTTTTACACTTTATTTTACTTTTTTATACTTTAAAAAAATTCATTCTTTCGAGGACGAAGCCTATTGAAAATGGTTAAAATCGGTTCATTATTTCACCTAGCCTCCATACAACCGTATCCCGAAATAGAGCTTTGAGCCCATAATTATGTTAAAAGTTCTAGTATCTCTACAAAAACATTATTTTATATAAGTCTAAATAATGCTGTTAATCCTATAAACTGGAATCTCATTACTATACTCATTACTTTTAAAGTTATGAGCATTAAGCTAATTATCTGAAGTGGACCTTATATGGAGGGTAGGGTCACAAATAGATCGATCCTCATAAGTACGCAGACTTATGCCCTGTAAAACTAATTTAAATCTATTTTTAATGTTTGCCAGTATTTTTAAGCTATTTATCAGTTCAAAAGTTGTTTTCTGAAGGGCATCGTTCATGAGCTGTAGAGTCGAATATGTGTCAAATATATGCATTAACTAAAGTCACTTTTAGAAGGGGACCCTCTCTTGGGGCTATAATTATAAACACTGGGGAGTGAGGTCGGTAAAATAACGGTTAATGCCAAAGTTTTAATATTAAAAAAAAACGTGGCACTAAATTAAAATTTTACAATTAATGTGTTGTTCCTAGATAATGTGCGATTAGTTTGAGCACAAATTTTACTAGTATTTTGTTATTGTGACAAAAAAATATATCATGAATTCCAGGAAAAATAAGAAAACCTGACAATTTTTGACCACATGTCTTCCAATTTCCTTCATATTATCAATATACGGTCCTTATGTAGAAAATAAAGCAACTCCGTTGTTTATTTTGAAAAATTTCAAGAAACGCGATTTTTATGGCGATTTTAATTTGATCGTAAACTACAAAGAATCAAATAGGTATAAAACTTTGAACCTTTATGCAGTTTCCAATAGAGTAAGTGTGTACAAAAAAAAAAAATGAAAAAAATCTGAAGACCATCGGTAAATTCTTAATTGATTTCTCATGGAATTCATGACATAAAATTTTCACTCAAAATACTCACACGTTTTTATCATAATAATATGTATTTATTATCGAATAAAACCAAACAAAATTCCACATCACTGTAAAAAATTTCAAATATCTAACTTCTTAACTGCCCAGTAAAAAATTTTTAGACTTTAGGAAGCTAAAAAGGGAAGTAACTGCATCTGTATTCGCTTACTATTAAGCCTTACTGAGAAGCAGGAAATAAGGGAATACCAATGATAGGAGTAATTTTATAATGTAAGCTGAAAAAAGTTAAAAGCTTACTACTATCCCTTACAGAGAAGCAGATTGTAAGTGAAGTATTTAAATAATATTTAAGCTTACTAGTGGGAATGCTTCCAAGTGGGAATTCGCTATATAAAAATCATGCCTTATCGAAGCAGGTTTGTAAGGGAGAAAATAGCTTCGTTCCCTTACAAACCTGCTTGCATGTAATCTCCAATTTTTACAGGGTGTCGTCGTAGTGAGCCAATAGTAGTTTACTAGTTATAATTGGTCTGTGATTTTCGAAAAGTACTTTAGTTTGAGAATATAATAAACAAACCTTGAAGTTTTGATCTATCCAGGTGATACGCTGTATTTTTCGGATGCATTTCGACAAACCGAAAATGACCGTTTTTCAATAAACGTCTGGCCATCTGAGATGTTTTAGCAAAACAATTAGATTACATTTGAATTTATACATTTGTATACCTACTATCAAAAAAGATTGGCGTGTATTGTTTACTGTTATTCCGTTTGTAACACATCGAAATATTGGTCATAGACCCACAAGAGTATATAGTCTATTTTCGTATTAAATTCTAAAACGATCTAGCCATGTCCCTCTGTCTGTGTTGAAATCACGGGAGGAGCTAGATAGTTGAAATTTTGCATAAATATTCTCTATTGATAAGGTTTGTTTGGTATTGAAAATAGTTAATATCGGTCAACATTTTCGGATAAGTGGACCTCCGAAAAACAGATTTAACAGGCATAACTGTTTTAAAATACGAGTATACCGATGAAATTCGACATAAATAAGTTTCATAGGAGCCAAAATCTCTCTACCAAATTTTATGAGGATCGGTGCATAAATGACCCTACCCCCATATATGGTCCCATTCAGAAAATGACTATACGCTCATTACTGGCTTAAAAATACTAGCAGCGGTTAAATTCGACACAAATAAGTTTCTTGTGACCAAAACTATCTACCAAATTCTATGTAGATCGGTCCATTATTGACCCTACCCTCAGAAAATTACTTTAACGCTCATTTCTGGTTTTAAAGTACAAGTATAGTGATGATGAATTCGACATATGTAAGTTTCTTAAGTGCCAAAACCGCTCTACTGACTTTTATAAGAATCGGCATATGATTCACCATTAAGTCCCCTGCAGAAAATTACTTTAACACTCATTACTCATTAAATTCGAAACAATTAAATTTCTTGCGAATCAAAATCTCGCTAACAAGTTTTATGTGGCTCGATCCATAATTGACTCCACCCCCATATAAGGGCCCCTTCTGAAAATTACTTTAAGGCTCATTACTGACTTAAAAAAACCCTACGGGTCATATAAGGTCCTATTCAGTTAATTTGATAAGTATTCAACAAATTATGTACTAGTACAGCGATGAAAATCGACATAAAAAAGTTTATATTTAGAAAAATAATTCTTCATTCCGAATTTAATGAGGATTGATCTATAACTGACCCTAGCCCCTATAAAAGGTTACCTTCGTGAAGGGGTTTTGCTTATTCCTTATTTAAAAATACGAGTATAGTTATGAAATTCGACATACACAAGTTCTATATAAATCATGTTCTGTGTACAAAATTTTATGAGCCGTTCGTTATTAACCCCACCTGCATATATGGTCCCCTTCAGAAAATTACTCTTAAGCTCATGACTGAATCGAAAATACGAGTAGAGCAATGAAATTCGAAACAAATAAATAAATGACTGTTCTGTACTGTTCACGGTTTAAGAATTTAGCAAAAATATTTTATTTTCCAAAATAAATATTCAAAAGCCATATTCCCTGATGGTTATAGGAAAGCATTCCTTTTACGCCATACTGTTTGATGGCGGGTATATGAGATTCGGCACAGCCGAAGTTTACTTTATATGTGAGCTATGACCAATTGTGGACCGATAAAAATCTGCATTGGTATTAGAATTTCAATTGTTGTGATTTTGAATACTTGATCTCTGACAGAAAAAAGTAACATGTGACAAAATTCATCCCAATACCTTTGGTAGCTTTAAAGAAAACTACTTAAGAAATGAGAAAAAAACGTAATTTTTTTTTTGAGGTTTCTGATATTTTTACTCATTATTTTTACCTCGTGAACCAAACTGCTTAGGACAATAATACATAAATATTTTGGTTGAATTTGTCTTAGTTTTAGCGTGAGCATGTTTTACAAAGACAGACAGACGGACATAAGCGAAATAATAATGGATGGATTTTACCCATTGTCAATATCAAATCAAAAAAAAAAAAGTATGTACCAAATTTCACCAAATTATCTTCAATGTGCACACAAGGTTTACATGGACAGACAGACGGACATACATTGAAAAATCGACTCAGAAAGAGATTCTGAGCCGATTGGTATTTATCATTCTAAAATCATTTAAAATGTTAATGGTAGAATTCTTAAACAGTATGACAAATTTTTAAAAAGAACTAAATCCTTATCTTTTTTCTAAAGAATGAGTCGCGCTGAATCCGAATCTGTTCAGATTCTCAGATTTTCCCCATCACGTCTTTGATTTAATCTTGATATCGTGCCCAGAAGTTTGAAAAAACGCCACTTTTTGAGTGCCAAGACAACTTTATTTATAAAATGTTGTATGCAATAAAATAAATTCTTAACAACCGACAAATCTTCTTTCTTCTTCAAGATATCTTCAACTTAAGCTGAAAAACGCATGGTTTTCGTTATATTCACGGTATTTATACCCTACATTACGATAGTGCGGGGGGAATTATGCTTTGTAAATATTGTTCATAACGAACGAAAACTTTAGATTCACACCTACTTGAGGAAGATCGAATCGACTCAAAATTACTTTCAGATTCGATTAAATGGTGTCTGTCCGTCCGTCAATTTCAACGGTCTATAAATTTTGCTATAAATTTTGTATTTTTCAAGAGTTTATTTATTTCTAAAAAGTAGACGCAATTTCATATCCATCGGTATATGCAAAATTAAGGAGATAATTTTAAATATTTCTAAATCGTGGCGGTAAAATTTTATAAAGTATACGCCACGTAAGCATGTTAAAGAGATTTCATGTATAGCAAATATTTCGAAATCAGGCAAAGTTTATATATCCGAAATGTTCTTCTTTAGGGAACTATGGCCTTGCCCCGGTGGGCCTATGATACCCAAATCATTCCATTTTGAATAGTTTATAAAGCTAGCATCATGTGGTTAAAGGAAATTTCTTAAAACAAATTTATCAATTCTTATTTAATGCTGTTAAAAAACTCACCTTAAAAGTGGTACTATCTACAATGGAACAATCCAAACCATTGAGAGTATAATCCTCAACACCATTCAATGATTGTGAGTGCTGTTGTGACGTCGGCTGTTGTTGTTGATGTTGTTCTTGTTGCTGCTGATGATCACTATAATTCTGTTCAATTTTAATAGTTGGACTTAAAACCGTTAAATTATTAGATGATTGTACACTAGAAGCAGTAAAAGAACCCTCTACCAAAATCGGGGCACTCGGAGCACTGGGTGCTGAGGAATTGTTTAAAGCTGCAGCAGCCGCTGCTGATACCACCGATGTGGATGCAGAAGCGTCGTGATAGGGGGTAACAACAAAAGAAGGATATGAACGAAACTGATGATACTCGGTATGAGAGTGTGAATGTGCCAGTTGTGGTCCTTTATACCAAGTACCATGCATAATCATTTAAAAATTATGCAAATTGTTAGATAAATGTATACGAGAGGAAATGTTGTTGTTGGTTTTATAAAGAACTTATATATTTTTGTTTTATTGGAACACTTTTCTTCTTAAGTATAAGATAGATTTAGATTTTGAGATTAAGATAATTTTTTTTAGAAAATTGTAATTACTTTAAAGACAATTTTTTTTTAATTTTTACATTGCACAATTACACTTTTTTATTTGTTTTAAATTTATTTATTTTATTAAAAATTTATATTTTTTAAGATAAAATTTCTTAAATTTTTTTTGCTGCTTTTTAAAATCACTTATTTATTGAAACACCTTGACTTGATCATTAAATATTTTTTTATTTTTTTAAAGCTTTTTTCAAGGAAAATTTGTGTGTTTTTTTTTGTAAAATTGTTGTAATTATAACCGGCTTTTTTTTCTTATATTTTTTTACAACAGTTTTTGGTCATTAAATTGTTGACATTCAATGTTTCAATGTGTTTTACATTTAAACCTGAAAACTGATCGATTGCCACTATATTCAAAAGTTGTTTGCGAAAAAAAAAGAGGATCGATTGATCCTCGCTTGTGCTTAAAAATACCGAGATGTATGCACTGAATTTCAAACTTACAAATGGCAAAAAACTGACTTCTTAAGATGGACTTGCACCACGCACAGTAAGTAGAAAACACTGGAAACACATTCGAACATTTAATAAAAATCGCGCGCGCGTTTTTGGTCACAGTTTGCAAAATTTTTCGCTGACTTTTTGCTTGGTATTATAAGTTTGTTTTCGAATTACTGCTTTTTTTTTTTGTTTTGTTTTGTTTTGTTTTAACTGAGTCCAATGTACGAGCACAAGTTTTGTGGCACTAGTCGAACAGTGTCTTAATGTGTAAGGCAGCAGCAATTGGCAAAAGACACAGACACAAAAAAAATTGCTGCCAACTCGCAAGAATTCCGTACACGAATGCTGAGTATGAATTGAAAAAAATATTGAAATGCCTCGATAGCTTTTGCTACTGTTGGATTTTTTCTCTAGTTTTTCTTTCTTTTGCTTTGCACAAAAACAAATACGAAAACCTGCCACAAAAACCCATAACAACAACATTGTGAGAGACGACAACTACAATGAGTAGTGAGTCGTATAATGTGCTTTTACTGCCGCCTCTTGATTAACTTTTTTTGTATCGGGGGCCGTTTCCCTATATGTAGTATGTATTTTGTCCATGCCACCGTGAGTATGTGTGTATCAGTGGTATCCACAAAATCATCAAAAAAACAACAACTTTACCCACCTCTCACTATTTTTGGGTGCATTTTGGGCTCAATCTGTTAACAAAAAAGTACTCAACCACCTTTTTTCCTCTGTTCGGCTACTGTGCACAACTCGTTTTTTCCCCAGTTCTTGTTTAGGTTTTTTCTCCCCTTTTTTAAATGCTGCTCCCAAACAGTAGCCAACATTGCGCATGCTCACATACCGTATTAAAGAGCAAAAACTCTTCAAAACCATTAAGAGTTGTTTGGGGTCTAAAACAGCATATTGGTGTTATACTCGTTGCTTGAAAAACCCACCAGCAGACATTTGATTTAGCTTTGACATTAAAATGAGCAACAGATTTGAGATTTTGAGTGGTTTTTTGTTTGTGGGACGATATTAAAGTTGGGGAGATGCATATGAATTGAATTATAATTTTGGCGGGAAATTTAAACAATCAATTATCTTGTGTAGTAGTGAGGTTTATACCTACTACTTACAATATAATTTTAGAAAACTGTTAATGATATAATAAGTCTGTAATTATTTTTACACGTTATATGTAATAGACTCTTTTCAGATTTTTATTAAATTAGGTTATTTAATTTAGGTTGTCGAAATCCTGTGAAAAACAGAATACTAGATATAATAGCGGCACTCGGGGTTCAGAAAATATAGATAATACAAGCTGTCGGTTGCTCAGAAAATACTTTGGGGATAAATAGAAAACACATCAAGGCTTCCAAAACCGCTTTCAGTTTTCTGATCCCACACAGAGGGAAAAGGATATATACACGCCTGTCACCAAATTGACACCAAAGAGTTTATAATTTTTCAATAACATCCGTTGTCAAAGTTTATACATACGTACGACAACACTATGTAATGTTGACAACGCAACCTTTGTCAACATTGCAACAATTCATTGTCAAAATATAAATTTTATACACATCCGTTGTCTAAATGTTAACAAACGTGGTAAGCTCACTATTGACAACGGAGTGTTTGTCATCCAGACTTAACGGCGAGGTATTGAAGCTATCATATAACGCTAAATAATTGGGTGTTATCCTAGATAAGAAGCTAGCTTGGAGCACAAATAGGCTCTCTAGGGCATCTAATGAGATCTTCTGCACTTGTCATTACCGATGTCCATAGAACAACTTCCTCAATTTGCTTCCAATTGATCTTCTAGCCATTCCACTTCGGCCAGATTGAGCAAGTGTAAAAACCGTTCCATAGGTCATTCGAAAAATCTTCTACCGAGACCCCATTACGACTCTGATGAGACAATTCCAGTATTATATAAATATCTAGAGACTCTCAAGAATCCCTCATTTCGCCAAACAATTCCTTCCGTGTGTATACAGACGGATCCAAAACGACAAAAGGATTTGGTGGTGGCATCTGTATTAGAAGTTGGTACTATAGTCCAGCTGCTATTAAATCTCTAATTGGTGAATTTTCCACATCTAGACTCGTCAGGGGACGCGGGAGTACGTATGGCAATAATATTGCTGACACTTTGGTAATAGTTGGAACTACTCTAAGCAAGATGGAAATATATCAGTTCTGTGGTCTTCCACTTCTTGCAATATAGAGACAGATGACCGATGGCCGCGTAAGCACACTTGCTCGATAATTAGAGCGCCTCATATGGATCCATGCAGGTCTAACTAACTCTTTAATCTTCTTGTTACTGTTTTTTCTTACAGGTATTTTTACAAGGGGATTAACTTGGACCCACATAAAGCTGCATTGGCTATTTATTTCATTTCCAAGTATATTTTTGTGGCCCGGTACCCAGCAAATATTCAATGAGTGTTGTACTTTGGAAGCCTATAGCTCCCTGCAAAAACGGATATAATATATATTTTACATAATGGATCTTGACTATCTATGTGGATCGTGATATCGCTTCTAAACATTTGTCTCTTGCTGTTTGGCCATATATAGTAGCTCATTTGTTTAGTAACCAAAGGGTAGATTCTATCACCTTAGCTAGTAAATTTGGAAACTTTTCCCTTAATACTAATATTACATTGTCGATATATTTTACTGTTCCGGCACGAACTCTCTAGAGTTCTATTAACAACTGACAGCTACGGCATTCATGACGTCACCAACTAATCAATTTTGAAGATGACGTTGTATTAGGTCTTTCACAATCGAAGCAGTTACAGCTTTATTACTTCCAGTATTGTTAATGTCTCTAGTATCAACCTTATAAATGGGTTATTGGAAAAATTGATCCGAAATTTCAATAAGTTCAATTCTAGAAGCCTATTTCTAAACCCAATTTAACAGATACACTTAAAATTAATTTATATAATTTTAAAATTAATAAGAGTTTAATCACAAAACTCTCTTCCTTCACCCTTATTCCTAATCCATTTTCTCTTTTTCATTCTAACCTAAACACAACTCTCTCGCCGAAAAAGGAAGAAAAAAATGCAGGCGCATTAAATTTCAGAGGGGGAGCAAATGTCATGGTTGTTATTTAGTTTTTCGCATTTCTTATTGTTTTTGCAGAAATCCTTTGCCATGATTTGCACAAAATTCAAAGTGAGAATGTGAGTATGAATGCAATGCAATTTTATTGCACACTTTTTTCTTCGTATCCATGCGCTGCTAAAATATTTATACGACTACAATTTCATTTGTTGTGATGGTTTTTGTTGTCGTCCTCATCGTCGTCTTTATAGCCAAAGTTTAAATGCATGCGCATCAATTTTGCCATAAACCTGATGCCTCGCCTTATTTCAAGGTTTTCTTGCGTTCTTTTTCACTTTTTTTCCAAGCGATTTTTATCGAAAATATATGTAAAGGGAAAAAAACAACTCGTGAAAAAGGAAAAGAAAACTTTTGTTCATTTCAAAGTTTGTGTAACTCCTTGGAGACATTTGTAAACTATAAATACAATTACACAATTCATATGTATTACATTTACACTATACATACATGCATGTATTAATGCACGAAAACGTTGTAAAATGTCTACGTTTTTATTTTCAATTCTGATCGCATAAAATTAATAAAAATCAAATTTTAACAAATAAAAATACTAAGAAAAGCAAACATTCAACAGCCAAATCCATATGTGAAGACAGTTGTGGTGAAAGGAATAGCGAATCTCTTCATCTTTATAAATTTTCCCAAAGCAAAGTCCTATGGTGCAACCACTTTGATTCATACCGGAAGTATGATAGATAGATAGATAGATAGATAGAAGATCGATAGTAAGATAGATAGATAGTAGATAGATAGATCGTTATAGTAGATAGATAGATAGATAGATAGATAGATAGATAGATAGATAGATAGATAGATAGATAGATAGATAGATAGATAGATAGATAGATAGATAGATAGATAGATAGATAGATAGATAGATAGATAGATAGATAGATAGATAGATAGATAGATAGATAGATAGATAGATAGATAGATAGATAGATAGATAGATAGATAGATAGATAGATAGATAGATAGATAGATAGATAGATAGATAGATAGATAGATAGATAGATAGATAGATAGATAGATAGATAGATAGATAGATAGATAGATAGATAGATAGATAGATAGATAGATAGATAGATAGATAGATAGATAGATAGATAGATAGATAGATAGATAGATAGATAGATAGATAGATAGATAGATAGATAGATAGATAGATAGATAGATAGATAGATAGATAGATAGATAGATAGATAGATAGATAGATAGATAGATAGATAGATA